TATCATTGGCTTACTTTTTTATTCTTTATTCTATTCCTTCTTTTGTGTATTTGCTAGTTCCGACTATATTAGCACTATGAGTATTACAAAATTGTCCTGTCATTAACCTTCATGTAATATTAGTTTTGTGGTTGTTTTTTGTTCGGTAACATTAAAACTGACAATCTTGGTTGTGAACGCCGTTATCACCATCTTAAAAATTTTGTATTCTGCATGATTACTCACACTACCACAACAAACACCGCATTAGTGCTGACAATAAAAAAAAACACAAACTGAAATGTTTATTTTATGATTGTTTAGTGTTGTTCAATCAAATTAACTGATCATCTTGGCTATAAGTATTCTTAAGAACATCTCATAATTTCTTGTATGATTATAGCTGTTACTATTCACCACGCATAAACATATCAAAGCTTCCACTAGCAAATACTGAAATATTTTTCATTATTGGTGTTTATCTTCCTTTCTACTTGGGATTTTTATTTGCATTTTTTCGTTACTTTTGTGTTTCTTTTTGGTTTTTGTTGTTGTTGTTGTTGTCTTTATATTTATTATTTTGTAATACTTCTTTTAAATGTGCGATGAAATTAGATGCAATATTGTAGATATGTGCTAAAAATTCCTCACTGTACCACTAGTACTGTTTCTGGAATAAAAAGCAAATTATTATCATGTTATACAAAGTGTACTTTTATAACGCCTCACTATCTAAAAAACTATGGATATATTGAGTAATGAAAATATTCACATATGAGCAGACCTACATTATATTCTTGCAACTTCAATGTATGGACTGACTGGAGAGTTAGTTATTTGCTCCAAGAAATAGAAATGTTGCGAACAGTTGCCGTTTGAGTTATGCATTCAGCCATTTATAAAACACTCCTGCCTGTAACTCACTGGCTTATAATAACTTTGTGGTTATTTTCTTCTTCTAAGAAACAGCTAGGATAAAAATGCAATTTGAAGTAGTTCTTCTCTTGATCAAAATTAACATCATGTATTTTCTCTCACTATTTTGTTCCCCTGTAAAAATGACTTAATATTTCGAAGTATGCTGGTGATTCGTGCATCTGCACTCATGAAGGGATTCGGGTCGCTTCTGAGACTCAGTGTTTCAGTCAGAAACATTACCACTGAGCTATTCCGAATCGCGATTGACCTTCAGTTAAACTGTTATGGATACTTTCAATGGACACCAGGTAGTAACTAGTGTTATGTCATGTCAGTCTGCACCGAAAGAAAGGACTTGATTCATGCATGATATTAGTTGCCACTTAGTGTCAAACGAAAGTATGCTTCAAGGTACAACGAAGTGAATAATCAATTCGGACAGCCTACTATAGATACACAGATGACGCATTCATTGTATGCAATGATTTACGTCTCGCTTCATTTCTATTGGGCTTATTCAGCAATGTACATTAGAGTATCACTTTCATGATGGAGCACGTAGATGCTGTCAGTTTCCACTTCCTGGATATAAACTTGGGGAAGAAAACGAATAGGACATTCGAAAGATCGATGTATCGTAAAGACACACAGAGCAGTCTCTACTGAAACTTCAACAGCTTCTACCCAGTCAGTTATTAACAAACGCTGGTGGAAACGCTTTTCTCCAGAGCGAAAAGAATATGGCCACCGGATAAATTAAAAAGTCAACTAATGCTGCTGGAGAATTTCTTGAAAGAAAGTGGTTAACCACAGAGCTTCAATGACAAATATGGTAAGAATGAATGTAAGAAACCTGATGTGGCTCTACGGTCAGCAAGAAGCCAATTCTCATCGAACTCGACTTCAAAGGCGACGATTCAAAGGGAATAATAAATAAAAGACTAAGCACAGCCCAGGACGATTCTCTGCGAGCACCCTACTCGTTGGTGCAGTCAAAGATCGACAAATGCCCGTCATATGATACCTCCAACTGTCTATACCAAGCACATGTATCTGTGGGAGCAGTTTCATTGGAGGAACAAAAAGAAGGGTCTATATCAGATTCTTCAAATATTTACCAAGAAGCTTCCGGTTAAAGGGGCCAAGTAGTTTAATCTCTTCATTTACTAAACACCTGATAGACACTAGACACAGAGTAGATGCGCTGGCGTCATTCAGAATAATTAAAAAAACAAAATAGCTCAAGTCTTCTTCGGTATGTTAAGGCTATCGCAATAAAATGGCTGGAACCTCACTGATGTATCCACAAGAAATCTGTCGTTAAACTTCAGTTACCGTAGTGAATCATCCCGTAATAACTCTTTGTTTTCCTTTCAACTTCCCTCCTTTTTTTCTGTTTGACCTTACGATATTACATCGTCATCTCTTCATTTGACCTAATGCATACCAAATTTTGATCTTCTCTTGTCTAACTACGTAATTGTTGTTAATTTGTTTAGTCACCACCCTAAGGAAAAACCTGTCAATTAATTTTCCAGAAACTTCTCTCTAACAAGATATATATATATATATATACTAACACTTCACCTACCTTACCATCCTGACTTTTTTATCTCAACATGACACTGTTACAATATGCTTGTTGATGACAAAAGTCTGTTACATTTCACTTAGATTTTTATTTATTAAAGATTATAGGCTGTATGCAGCTGATGAGAACTAACGAAATAAAATGGATCCATGTTACCCAGCACCAATACTTGTTTATTCTTCGCTCAGATTTTTAAAGGAAATTCATAGATGAATTTTTCTCCATGGAGATTAATTTACTTCATTGGTGTCCAGGCATTTGAAACCATTAAAAGGTTATTATTCTTGTGTGATCCTGCATAGTCAGTATGCATTCCCAAGCAGCAACTGTCTATGGGAGAAAAAGCAGACAAGTTTGATATATTTTCGCGATGATAACGCCTTCGTGTATTTTATTTTTTTGTTTGTCGGGGTGTGGGGGGGTATGAATTCACAGATGTCATCCGGCGGAAAAGCATACAAGTCCCGTGATTCGATCGTGCCTTTTCCCGATGAAGCTGTGTATCTTAGAGATCGGCAAATCATATAAATGTGTATGCTACAGAACACTTAACTTTAACCTCTTTTTGAAACTTTCTGCACATGGTGTGCTCATAGAGACAGAATTTTAACAAGAAACTGAAGTTTCCACAAATCAGTCATGGGGATTGAGACTGAGAATGGCATGAATTCTTTTTAACAGTCGCTTGTTAGACTTCTGGTGCTTCTGTTGGAGAGTATGTAAGCCTTTGTACTCACTGCTGAATAGTGATTCCAGTGGATCGTGACTAGTGATTTACTGAGGCCAGGTGGCGCAGATGCATCCACTCCTTGTGACTTATGATCTCCAATGAAACTTTTGTTTTTCTTTATTACTCCTTTGTCTCACATCTCTGCTCACTGTTTCTGTTATGCTTTTCTTATACTTTCTTTTCTTGCTTCGCGTGCTACACGGAGTGTGGCGACTTGAACTTCCGCACATGTGTGCAAAGTTCTATGTCGAAAACAGACAGACAGACAGACAGGTGATATTACTGATGATTCGTTGTGTTTTACACTTCGGATGTTACTCTGCAAAGTGTAGCTTTAGAGAGGTCATCAGCATACTTAAGAAAAGTATGCTGATGACCTCTCTGTTTTTATGCCTGTCAACAACTCTCAGCCAGATTGTTCCAATTTAAATAACTTTCTATCGGAAATTAGTCAGTGGTCCTCTTCAAACGGTCTTAAGCTGAATCCGTCTAAATATCAGGTAGTCAATTTCACTTTCAGACGTAAACGTGACCAACAACAACTAGTTAGCTCACATGGCCCCACTATCATTGACGGCACAGAGGTTGAAAATATATCTAATGTCAAGTACCTTGGTTGAGTTTTCCACCGATCTTTCTGGTCTCCCACATCTTACTAGTTACTAGAAAGATGTTTCGCTTAACGTTCTACATTAGGAAATTTAGGCAGTCTGGCATAAAGCAGTCTTTGCTTTCTCAGTTTGTAAATTCTTGTATTCTACCCATCCCCCTTTACTCCTCCCCATTAATCTTTCCTGGACTACTTCAGAAAGACTTTGCTTTGCTGAGAAGGGCACTAAAAGTTGTTAGTAGGGCAAGTGGGATATCGTTTTATTTTTTGTTTTTTGATTACAGCTTGATTCCACACTGTATTTTTGGTAAAAGTATGGAATTTTCAGCATGGATATCGGTAGCCCAAATTTCGCAGGCCGACCATAGATATCAAGTGTACGTCGGCAGGAGATCGAACCCCGAACCATGTGCATGCTCGGCGAGAGTCCTAACCCCTGAGCCACCGATGCACCAACTAGTTAACAATATTGTGGACAGACATATAATGTCATGTAAGAAACTAGCGAATACAGTATTGTCAGACCCCGAGCATTCTCTCTACAAGCAGCTCTCTCCTTGCATTTCATCTGGTAGAACTAGAAGCAGCTATAGGCGGCTATATGCTAGGACCACCAAATACAAAAACTTCACAATACCATATCTGGCACAGCTGTTATGTGATGAGAAATCCGTTAGGTATGACACGATAAACTTATTGCGGCACTCTAACAAATAGTCCCATTAGTTTTTGTTTTCCTTTCTCCGTTACTATTACACTGTTGTTCTTATCTTCTATTATACACCAATTTTATATTTCATATCCTGTGGTGCATTGTTTAAAATGTAAACGCAACGCTGTTTTCTTTTTATTTATCTTTTTTTTGGGTGTTGCTTTTTGATTTTAAAATCTTATAAATTTATGAGGTAATTAGATGCAATATATTGTAATGCACGCTGAAAATTCCATACCTGTACCACAAATACTGTTTGGAATAAAGCTGTTATTATTATTATTAAGATAAGATTCAGATACTGACTATAAGAGAACAGGGGAAATCCACGCCTGAAGAATAATTTAATTCACTTAGATGAGTTGAATTAAATGCCTGACAATGAAGAATTACGTGTATAAACGACCAAAATAATGTCTAAACCTCTTTCTTGTGTTATTATTATTATTTTTTAAAATAGAATTCATTAACATTAACATTCAGTATTTCAAAAAGTACAAATTCCACCGATAGTTCTCCGTCTTCTCCTTCAAGAACCAGTAAAATACAATCACAAAAAGAACAAATAAGTCCAGGTCAATTTCCAGATGCTTTGATGAATACTGATCATTTTCATCGTAAACACTTAAATCCACTTAATAATCCTGTGCTTCATGTTTTGGCTTTGAAAAATTCAAATAATTTTAATAAAAATCAACTTCCAGACTATGCACGTAAAGAATTAAAGAAATTAAAAGAAAAGTTAAAAGAAAATCATCACAAATCTGTCAACAATATTGTACATTCGCATAGTCTTGAAGCCTTGGCTACTAGTCTTTCTGGTAGTTCATTACCATCAGTCAAAGTAAAACAATCTAATGTGAATAATTCTCCGCGAAAATATCATCCAGTCAAATCAAAGTCTCCTGGTGTTGATATTAAATTTAATGATGAATCGTCTAAATCATTAGGCGAAGTTAAACCAAAATTATCAACACATGAACCGACAAAAAAGTTGACTTCAAAGAAAAAAAGTAAGTGCTACATTAGTTTCGATTTGTTTTTCTGGTCACAAGGTTTGAGGTCACAAGTAATTGTGTAAGCCATTCAAAGTCACGTTGGACCACTGACTAGCTACAATCCCGATATGCTTATTCTAGTGTATTTGAATGATTTAATAAAATAGCTGATGCCGTGTCAGGCATTATGATTATTACATTTATTTTGAACACTGTCAATGTTTCACATTCATTCTCAGTATTATTGGTTCGCTAGTCATCATGAGACTAGTACTGCGTAATTTGTGCATTTATTATTATTATTATTATTATTATCATTATTAATGACGACACCAACAATAAGGAATCTGAATCATCAGCAGCAATACCATACAAGAAAGGAACCTCGGAAGCCTTACGTAGAATTCTTAACAAAGCAGGAATAAAAGCGGCTGGCATTCAAGTCACCCACAAACTCAATTAGAAACAGGCTTTGTCGGTTAAAGGATCCTGTGGAGCCTTTGAAACAAAACAATTTAGTTTATCTAATACCCTACTTGAATGATTTTCAGGTCAAATACATTGGTCAAACTAGTAGAACAGAGGCAGTCAGACTGGCTGAACATAAAAATTCAGCAAAATCTAGATTGGTTGACTCAAATAAGATAAGAAATCTAGAGAATAGTTCAGCTGGCTATAGCACTACATGCAGTTACACACAACCATACAATAGGCTGGATGGGATAGGACGACAGTTTTAAAATCTAATGTCTCAGGGTGGAGGGAGAGATTGATAACAGAAGCTTTGTTTATCGAATCAACTGAGACAGCATACGTGTAATAGGAATGATTCAACAACTGTCCCAGATATCTGGAAAATCCTACTACCCCTACGACAAATAGGAGAGGACAAAGAAAACCATAAAACTCAAGTTTCGAAGTCGTGTGATTATAATTGATATGATTATGAACAGTAATAAATTTTGTTCGAAACATCATCCAGTAAATAATACTATTTCACTGTGTGATACATCTAATAAACAAACTAATATGGAATGCTGCTTTACAAAGAAAATCGAAAGATGAATACGGCTAACGCTGTGTTAGGAATTCCAAAATAAAAAGAAACACTTGTTTGGTTATAGTCACTTGTTGAAATAATATTTGTTTTGCCTTGAGTAACATCCATAAGTGAATATAAATTGCAGAACTCGACTTTAGCAAATAGGTATTTTCGGTAAATTCTCATTTGAATTAATGTGGTTAATAAAATATAGGATTACATTTCAGGGATGTAAGTTAATGGATAACAATCAAGGTGGTCACAATCTGTCTGTCTGTCTGTCTGTTTTCGACATAGAACTTTGCACATATGTGCGGCAGTTCAAGTCGCCAAACTCCCTCCTTGTAGCACACAAAGCAAGAGAAGATAGTACAAGAAATGCATAATAGAGACAGTAAACAGAGGTGTGAGACAAAGCAATAGTAGTGACGAAGAACAAAACAGTTTCATTGGAAATCATAGATCACAAGGAGTGGATGCATCTCCGCCAGCCATTGAGAACAATTTTGAGTCATGTCACCAATTGTTTCCAACCATTGGTTTTTACTGTTCCGCGGACCCCAACCAGGAAGTCTACACCTTCCTACGTGGCTTAGGCTAACTGTTGTGGACTTCATTGACTGGTGCCATGTTTTGGTTTGACCGCCGCTAGCTCTTTTCCAGCCTGACCCTATGTAAGCTAACATTGCCCGTCGAGGAAGGTGATGACCAGGCATACGTAACACATGTCCTAACCATCTCAGTCGATGTAACTTCACAACCTCGTCGATCGATTTCCCCTGCTTACCTAGAACTCGACGCCTAACCTCAATATTGCTCACCTTATTATACCACTTCACACGGGAAATACAACGCAGGCAGCTATCATCAAAGACAGCTAATTTTTTCATGTCTTCCACTCTCAATGGCCAGGTCTCACAGCTGGCCATAAAGGAGGACGGAGCGGACTGATGAGCAGTACACCCGCCCTTTGGTCGATAGTCGGATAATAATAGTCACAATAATAATAATAATAATGTGTAAATTCATTTATTTGTTAATATAATCTAGGCAACGGTTAGTGTACAGGTAGAGAATGTGCATACTAGTAAGGGCTAGAGGGCGAAATAACTATTATCACATAGCGATTAGATAATATAATAATAAAATATTGTGAAACCGAGAGTAAAATGTACAACTACAGCACAGCATGATATTGATGTTGACTATTCATGGGGAGACAGTTAAATAGGTAGAACGACTCGGTAAGCCCATACTCACTCGCCTTCTGGAGCATTGTCCAACGTGGTTTTGTAGAGGAGCCTTAAATTCAGTCAGAAGCTCCATACTAGCACTAGCACACCTAGTGGGTTTGAGACACAGGGTGCATAAAAATTCAGCTTTTAAAACTCTATACAAGATGCTACCACAACTCCATAGGTCGGTACGTCACTGGCTGCTAAGCATAGGTGAGGCAGTTACCATAATGATTTTCCAACTCAATCTCTATGTTCAGAAGAAGTTTGTTTAATCTCTCTCCCTAGTAAATAGCTGTATTTTATTTTGTTTTATTTGTAATGCTATCTGTATTATCAAATATCATGCTGTGTCGTAGTTGTACATTTTATTCTCGGTTTCACAATTTATAATTATCATATTATCTAGTCGCTATGTGACAAATAATTATTTCGCTCTCCAGTCTTACTTTTTATTCCTTTACGTTCTCAGTGGAATATAGGGCTTCAAACAAGAGGCTTAAAGTTTCGGTAGCAGTGGTGTCTATTTTTACGGGATGGGGATGCTAGCCTCATACCCAGTCTTCCCTCTTTACCAGTATTATCACTGGCTTGGCGAAGTAAAACAGTGCGTCGGTTGAGGATAGAACGTCGGACCACATGCGTGGTTGGCGAGCTAACTTTTAATTTATAGCTACCATAGCAAGCTGTCATTCCATATAGTCGGGTAAAGGTGTAACTCCATTATGGATAAGATTTTATTTTGATAAATCACACAGTGGAGTTAAACAGTAATATTAACTAATGACGTTTCGAGCACAAACTATTGCTCATAATCATATCAAGTTACTCACACAACTTTGTTCTTTCATATATATACATGTGTGGAATCGATTAGACATTGGATTAAAAACCAGCATGAGATCATGTACACCAAGAAATAATAAAACGAGTGTTATTAATCAATAAAACAAGTGTTTTTTATAGTCATAATAAGCTACTTGTTAGAATGTTGTGATGTGTTTGAATTGAAATAGAATTTTAAGATTATTTATTATCCTCTTCTGATTTGACCAGCGGTAATAATATCTTTCATATCTCTGGTATTTGCATTGAGTTATTTCTGTTGCATGTGTTCGGTGTAGATTCAATGAACAAGGATTCCGTAATCAATCTCTTTCTCCACCTACCTAGATTACTTTTTAGAATTTTAACCCTTTCCCACCCACCCTATTGTGTGGTTGTGTGTTATTGCGTGAAATGAAATAGCTGAGCTTTTTTCTAAATTACTTATCTTCTCGAGGTCAACCATTCTTACCTTAGCTAAATTCCTACGTTCTGATAATTTGACTACCCCGACCTACTACTTTGACCTATGTAGTTGACCTCACAGTCATTGCAGGGTATTTTGTAAATTATATTATTTTGTCTAATCGGGTCAACAGGGTCCTTCAACCTACAGACCTTGTCCCTGAGTGAGTTTGTAGGTTTGAATTCCACCCTAATTCCTGCTTTATTTATCAAAATAACATCTTATCCATAATGGAATTATACTTACTCTACCACAGTGCCCAAGTTTTATACTTATATCAGGTCTAGGTGATCTATACACAGGAGAGATCAGTTTGACGAATTCAGAACAGACACACGTGGCAGAATATTCATCTTGACTTAGGCCTAAGATTCAGTTGGATGGGTCCTTTTGAAATAAATTATGTCTTTGTGTGTGTGTGTGTGTGTCTAGGTTTTTCGAAATGTCTAAGGCAACCATAACTGCTAAGTTTATTCTTCTTATGTACACAGATTAAATGTAGATTTTACTTATAAAGTCAGCAAGCAATTCATGATCAGTGTTTGTGGAATACATTCTAATTGTTACCCTCTTTTTTAATCATTTTACTCAAGATCATTCGATTGGTGAAGGTGAAACTAAAGTTTCAATGTTACGTCAAGTTGAACTTGTACATTCCGACGATGATGATGATGATGATGATGATGATGACGATGCAACAACAATCGATGATGAAGCCTACGATGAAGATGATTTACCTGGTGAACGGAAGAAAACTGATATCTTACGAAGTAATGTTAGTGAAAGTGGTGAAATTCCCCTTGGTAGTTTGCGACTAGATCATACATATTCATCAACAACATACAACAATCCAAGAGATGATATAAATATAGCACGTGAAATAGTTTCCAAAGTGCTTCGTGATACAATTGACCTTGGTGAACGTTCTGGAGAGGATTCATCTACTAATTAGAACTGTACTCAGATTTTAAACCTTTTAATTCGTTTTCAATATTTGCAAATTAAAAAAAAAAGTGAAATAAAATTTATGAACAGTCGTATCCTGGCAATTATTCATTTTTAATTTGTTATAAATGGCAGTACTTCAACAAATCCACTTGATTTAGGTTTATAAAACTGATTGAATACGTCTTCTGTAACTGACATGGTAGGATTAAATGTAAGTTTGTAAAACAAATCACCAATCGATATAGATATTACGGTATTACAAATTTCACCAGGTTAATCATGAAATCATTAACAGAACTGAGTTATCTATCTCTGAAGTCATATTCAAATTTATGACACCTGTGCTTGCGGGTTCAATAGTGCATCGTAGTTCCTTTGTTCCGCCTCTGAAAATTGAGTCCCCTTCAGTATCTTTCACTGGCACTATCTGCGTTCTTGTCTTCCAGGATCAAGACCTCAATTTTCGATTAGCACTATGAGATCACTGTCAAGCACAACTTTTCCTGCATTACCTATCTCAAACTCCACTTAATAATGAACATATGTCCCAGAGCACATATACTGGAGCGACAGAGAGTTGCGTTATTGTCCGATTTCTAAACACAAACCAGAGACACAGTTTTCGCTCAGCAAAGAAATATTTCTTTTCGAGAAAGCTGTAACCGTGCCCTCCATGAACGAGTATCATTATTATTTCTTTTAAATCCTAGAGGAACATAGGGCTTCATCCGCGCGCCTCCATAGCGTTCGGTTTCCTGCCAGCGTTTTCATCCCTCTCCAAGTCTGTCAACACGCTTTCATCTCCTCTTCACATGACCTCCTTCAAGTCTCCCTTCCACTCACGACCAACTCGCCGCTTCCCTTTCGGGTACCACTCGAGTGATGGCTTGTCTAGTGGCGTCACTTGATGGTTTCTTCACAGTATGGCCAGGAAACCATCAGGTGACATTACTAGACAACGTGAACGAGAAGCTGAACACTATCAGGGTTAGGTAACCAGAGGTAAGCAAAGGACTACGAAGTCTTCAATTTGTGAACACCTTCTGAAATCAAGTCATTCAGCCCCACTAGCATTATCCTTCAAAGTTATCAACAGGAGTAAATCCGAACATTTTTAAAGCTTCCGTTTTCTCCAATTATGCATAGCCGAAGCACTAACTATACATGGCGAAAATCCTAGATGGTGTGTTCAAGAACCTTCCGTTAAACCCTTCTCTTTGCCTTGGTCATATTAGTGTTTTTTTATTTCATTATACTTTACCACTTGAACTCATCCCACCTCAATTCAACTTCACCGTCTTCAACAATATCATCATCGTACACTCTGATTTCTAAGTAACACGAACTGTAATTTTATAATCTTTATACCAACCAGTTCAGTTGTTTAATGATCATTAACGCTACTCCCTCAGTACATCATTTTAATTACCCTTATTCTCATCACATGTAAGTGGACTGAACAATTTCTAGTGCCATTCAATGCCTTTTTCCGTAATATAAATACGACTGCATAGTTGTCTTGAAAATGAAATCGTTGTAAAGGAATATTGCATCGCTGATCAAAACGTGTGTCTTTCCTTACAAACCAGAGAACCTGCAACTGTAGGCGACGGAAGTATTAAACAGTGTGATTGGACACTAGTTATACTGTGAAAAATCTGATGGCGTTTAAAATAATCAACATGTATAAGGAACCTAGTCTATTCCATTTCGCTAAAACTGAAATTCTCCGTGTTATTGCATCTCCATCCACTGTAGTCAGTTTCAACTCCAACTCGGTTGGGACCAACAATCACGACTTCTCACTTAGACTCTCCGTAATATATGTATGGGCCAGTCAGTCAGTCAGTCACTAAAGATAATTTGTCCTCTCTAGATTTGAGTAGAATTATCTCGAGTCGTCTAATTTCGATACCTTCAGTGGTCTACACAGGTCGATTCGTTGAAAACAACTTGGAGAATACGGTGATGATGACGACTTTATTGTAAACAACAGTCTCGATGCAGTGTAGTTCATCACTAATGCACCACGTAATATTCTCTTCACATCGGTCGGATATTACGGGAAAAACCAGTAACTAGAGACCTGGACTATTCTCATAGTAATACTAACAGGGATAGTATATAATTGTAAGAATGAATTATAAGTTAATCGGAAGAGTGAGACAAATCACCTCCTAACGTAGGATATCTAGAGAGAAAATTGCCAGGCGGGAGATTGATTAGAGTCCAACAGCATAACTTTGTTAATTTCTTCACTGAGTTGAAATATTTGTCGACTGACCATCTGATTATCGTTGACAGACATTTAATGAATTGTAAGTTGAACGGTGAATTGATTAAGTGACTTTGCTTGCCAACACAGAGGGAACGTTTTCGACGGGAGTATGATCGGTTTTCATGCTTGTCGATTTGAAGTCTCGAAATTCATTTGAGATTGAACATCGACTCGTGGTCATGAGTGTACTTATTCACGGATTTATAAGCTGTGTGAGTGAGGAATATTTGAAGTATCACAAGTGAGTAATCAAAAGTCTTCTGGAGTATTGCAAAGTAATACTGTAACAGCAGAAGACAAGGGCCAGGCAACAGATCGTTCATTAAGGAAATCAACCCATATTTATAGATTTTCATGTACATATTTTGGATTATTGTTAGCAGGAAACACAGTCTTCTGATTGGTTGTTTCTCACAGAAAGTTAACCTTGCATCTCTTTGTGGTTATTTCTTGAATATCAGATCATCTATATGTTAACTGTATCCGCCTACGCAAAGCCTTTGTCCTCATTTTCCTCACGACCAATATTGCGGACATAAACATTGACGTGAATTACTGTCCACCAATTTTGACTAACAGCCAGCTCTCACCACAATACTAACCAGCGAGATAAGTTGAGCTTATGATTCATTGTCTTGTAGACTCTTGTTATGTGTTTACAGCCCGAATGATACAAAAATATAAATTATATGAAATATTTGAACATAAGTTTCGATGTGATGAGATCGAGTGTCAGACTGGAGACATGGGTAAGATAACGATGGAATGATGTGCGTTGTTGCGTCATTAGGTATTATCTCACTCATCCCACTTGTCATTCTAAGTCATTTGTTTTGCAACGATAAATTCTATGTTACTAAATTTCACACAGTTTTATGTGACGTTTTTATTTTTATTTTATTCACCTACCAATACTCTAATTTAACACCCCCTTCGAACACCTATTTTCCTATGAATTTTTCTATATATGACATTAAGTGTTTTGCTACTCGGTATAATCACGAACATTTTAGTTGCATTTTATGCTACTATTATTTTTTTTATGCATTCACAACTATGATTCAATTCCCTCACCGGATATTATTTCATAGAAACCATATTTATACGAGTGTACGTCTTGATAATAAATTGGTTGAGAAAAGTGTCTTCACTGAATCCCTTGGTTTGATTTTCTAAATACCTGGTTGTCTGATATGATCTTCTGAGGTCTCGTCTACTTCTAGCCTGTCTGTTCTGCCTCACTTGCCAGCCAGTGTGTCATAGAATTGTCTTTTGTCTTTCCTAGCACTCTTCATCACTCCTCTATTCAGTTCAGTGTACGTCGAACTTAGCTTCTCCTTCTCCTGTCGTCCATATTCGAATTGGTCCATCCTCTGTTTCATCATTTCCCTCTCTTCTTTTAGCTTACGGGTAGCCATTGAGAGTAATTTCTTGTCTTGGATCTTCTTTCCTCCTAGACCGGTTGTACACGTTCCCTTGAACATCACCTTCAGTGAGTTAGTTCCAATGTTCTTCCATGCAGGTTTCCTGAGTGATGCCACGTAGTGTCTCCAACTTCGCTCTGATGAATGCAGTTTCCGAGTGGTAAATTTTGATTGTGTTCTGTCTACAGTTGTACTGAATGCTTTCAGCTTGACCTTGAGGGTCTCTTGAACTAGATGGTGTTCTGAGTACACATTTGCTTCCCTTCTCGACTTTCTGTCCAGAAGGCTGTGTCTCCACTTTCTTGAAGTAGAGATTAAGTTTATGTGACTTTCGATGCATCCGTCAGGTAAAATCCGTGTTGCTTGTGTACATCCTTGTGCTTGTACACGCTACCTCCAGTCACCAAATCACTGAAGGCTGAGTGGTCTACGAAGGGGTTCTCCGTTCTTATTGAGTTTGCAAGGGGCTTCTCGTCCCTTGATGAATTATCTTCTTGTATTTTCTGCTCCCAGTTTATAAATCATAACGCCCAAGGGGATTTTGATGTCACCATTTGAGATTTTGTCCATTACTGTTTGCAGTTGTCTTTCTTCTTCTTCTTCTTCTCCACTCAGTCTGCTTCTTTCGCTTACGCGTAGCATTGTAACTTTCCTTGCAGGGGATCGGTTACCACCGCATGTGAGCTTCGACCTCGACTGGTGACATCATGATAGCTACTCAGTGTTTTCGTGGTTGTCGTCTGGGTGACCTGAGTAAACTGCTGACTCACCAGTTGACAATTTCGATAGTCCACATCCAGTCCACCTACTCTCATAGATTCGCAGCACTTTCATGCCATACCGTCTAATTTACTTGGCTACCTGAACAGCCTTCTTAGCTTCATACATTGTACGAACATTCAACATCCCAGTGCCTAGTTTAGCTCTCATCAAAAGAAGACGCATTTGCTGGCTGACTGGCTTCCCAAAGTCTTTGACCAACTCTCTGTGTCATTTCGCCTCTCAGATTCCAGCAAAGAATAAGTTTGTCTTTTATATTTTCCATGTGCTTTGAAGTTTCTTTAGAGATTGAATTCATTTTCCAGAGTGGGTTCGCTAGTCTCACACCCAACCCTCCTTATTCTCCCGGATTTGAGATTAGTTAGAAATCTAGTGAGGTAGTAGACTAGGCGACGGCGGTGGTGGTGGTGGTCGTTGTGTTGATCAAAAAACATCTGCTAATTATGCGATTTGGTTGAGGAAAGAGAAGAAAACAGAGGGAACTTATCAAGACAATATCAGAATAGACTTCATTTTTAATGA